ATATATAATGAAGCTGTTTATTTTTGACATAATGAGGCTACAATTGCTTATAACCATCTGATGTGAAATATGATAGCTTGGATGTGTCACAAAGTTTGAGAAATGTTTCTTTGGAACTTTGACCTTGTTCAATAGAATAAATGCAGCTACCCTTTCGCGCATGATCCTCTCTCTCTCTATTCCTTGTATCTTTTCACTCTATCTCTCTCTTTCAATAGCTGAATTAAGGAGAGAATCCACTCTCTCTCTTCCCATCTCTCGCCTCCAAATCTCTCAGCACTGTGAAGCCGCCGCTTGTGCCACTTCTCTCTTTGACTCGTCTCACCTCCAAATCTCGCAAGGATGAACAAACAGGGCATCTCTTCTCTCCCATGTTAACAAAATCATCCATCTAATTAGGGAAAGTTATTGCTTTCTTGCTTCTTCTTTTTTCGTACTATAATTTTTTCCATTTAATTTTGTTTTCTTTTATGTATCCTTGATTACCTTTTTATCGCATATAAATAATTGGTTAATGGATTTATGCCTATGTGTTAAAAAAGTGAATCAGACTTTATTCTCTATCCCAAAAACCATTGGATCTTAATTAGCTTAAATAGGACTACTTTAGGCTTGTAGTGATTATTAAGGAGTTGTATTTAGTTGTAATGCAATTTTATGTCTTAATTTGTGTCAATTTTGAATTTTTCTCAGGAAACTATGTAATTTCTATTCTTAAGAGAGACCAGTTGTTTTAACTTTTAAACTAAATTTCCTCAACAAAAACTTATTAATTACATATATGTTTCCAAAATCCATGACAAACTATTGTGGAAACATGAATTTTGATTTACAAAATCCATGACAAACTATTGTGGAAACATGAATTTTGATTTACTTTGATGTGAATTGCATCCGTAGAATTACTATATTGTTTTCGTGCATTTGAGATAATATCCATGTTTATTATCTTTGTTGCATGCTCTGCTATAAAACTTTGCCCTTTGTAAAATTTTAGTTATCTACTTCTTATATGTATGGCATTGATGGAGAAATTTTGACATTTAAATTAGATTAGGGAAAGTACATGACATTGCTTCACAATTGTCCGAGCTACCTCAGGTTTTATGAACAACTCAGGGTAGATAGACAGTTTAACTTGAATCAAGGACACTTAGTTTAGGAAGATTTGATCATCATCATCATCTAGGCCTTATTCCAATGATTTGGGGTTGGCTACATGAATCTTGTTCATCCGTTCAATATAGGTTTAGAATTCATGATAGGATGTGACAAAGTTTTATGCTGACTGTCTACATAACGCAACCCACCCCTTTACTGAGGCCTAGGATGGGTATTGTTTTGCTTAGGAAGATTTGATAAGTTGGAAAATTGGTTTGCTTCAGAAGATGTGATGTGAAATTAGTTACTTCCTAGCTTCCAGCAAGCACACATGAGATATTAAAATCGCGAAAATATGAATAATTTAGATGTAATGAACACTCCATTGTTGCTAGTAGCCGAGTTTAGACTAATATTTACCCATAGATTAGTAGTAGACAAACACAATGGCCTAATACGTAAACTTATCAAATGAGGTTAACCATTAGAATTTAAGCATATAAGTTAGATCACTTGAACATTGAATCAATAAACTCCAATGTAGAGTATATGCCTTTAATCAGATTGATGCATGTATTGTTTGGTTTTCATGAATAATTTTGTACAAAATATGTGAAGTGTCTGAAGACATTAGTTTATATGTAGATTGTGTTTTACGCATGGTCATTTAAGTATGTGAGATGGATTCACCATTTCCAGCAGAGTGTCATCTCCCACGTTGAATCATGATAATATGGGGGACACTATTGAGCCCATGAAGCAAGATCCATTTCTCACAAACCCCCCTGCACCTGCCTTCCCCCCCCCCCCTCCTAATGAAGTTTAATATAGAGGAGATGGGGAATATGGTTCATCGTCCAATGGGGTCAAAACTAAAAGAACGCTACATATGAATGAAATTTGGTTATAAAGATAATACATATGACTACTACAAGGCTTATAAATTGGTGTAGGTATCCAAAAGGGAAGTACTTATAATAATAATGATGATCGAATGATAGATATAGAGTTTAATTGCTCTAAGGGAGGGTTTTGTAGAGAGAAAGATACAGTATGCGCAAAGATAGTCCTCCAAACAAGCTGCAAAGATAGTCCCTCAAACAAGTTGTAGATTTCTAGCTAACCAGGATATAAGTATAAATGCAATGCGTGGGTTGTGACTAGGTTTGTAAAAGATTACAACCACAAGCAACTCACTCCAATAAAAGCTTAACTCATTCGCCCACATCGAAGAATATCGGATACAACGAAGATAATGATAAACTCCTTGAGTTCTGCTATGATCAAGGCTAGACGTAACCATGATATATTTATGGAACAAGTTGGTGGGATTAATAATCTCCCATGCACACAAAAAGGAGTTGAAAACCAAATAAAAAAGAACATGTTAATCTTGCTCGAATGACTACATAAGATGATGGAATCAAACCCATCCTTTTCTACAAGTTAAAACTAGACGAAGAGGATCACATTCTTAGCATATTATGGGTGGATGTTATGCTAAGGGTGTCATACTGTTACTTTTGTGATGTGTCACATTTGATACCCATATAAAACCAACTCTTTTAGCAGGTCTTTCACTTCACTATTTAGAATGAATCACTACTTCAATACAATCATTTTTCGATTTACACCCATATTTTGACAAGAAGGTAGCGTCATTTGTATGAGTTTTTAAAAAGTGGCTAGGAACAATAATTGGATGTTAATCTGATGTCATTATCATTAATCAAGACCATGTAATTATTACTGCAAAGAGACAAGTTATAAATAAAAATATCAATTATTATTATAAATGGCACATATTTTCTAAGCTTAAAGAAAAAGTATGTCATGTATTGCGTACGGATCGAACTTTTTTAGAAATTTTCAAGAAGTATGAAACGGCCCTAACAGTGGAAGAATTTGAATTAGGATGGCAGTCCATGATTGAGAAATATGAGCTTCGAAATAGTTGATGACTTATTAGACTGTATGGCTGTCATTGTCGAATGCAACAGGTTGATGAATATGTTGATAGTGCATTCACAACAAGTATGATGTCCACTCAAAGAATTAAAGGGATGAGTAAGCACTTTAAGATGTACTTGACATATTCATCAAGCTTATATTCAGCATTATAAACTACTCTAAAAAGGCATGAAAAGAAGCTACATAAAGAGAGAGAAAATGACTTAAAGAACATCACAACTACTACTATTTTGTGGGCCACTAACTTCGAAGATCTATACGCAAAATATTCTATATTTTTCTTGGGGAACAAGTAGTATTACAAGTTTACTGATATATGTAATTGGCGTTTTTCTTTTTTCTTTTTTATTTTTTCTTTTATCGCTATTAGAAAAATTTCTTATTGATAGTACTTTACCGATAAATAATGTTACACTCCAAATTATATCCTTGACAAATGACGTGGCAAGCTAGTATGCCCTGTTTAGTTACAACCAGTGGTTTAAAAAAACGTCGAGTCACCACGGACTCGGGC